GACTTTGTTTACACTGGAAACCATGTGACACTTTATGTTGATCGTCGGGGAGCCGTCGGACGTGAAGCCACTCTGGTTGCACACGTACTGGTCGTCCACTTCGCGAATTTTGAACTCGTTCTTACCCCAGAACGGTATATTGAATTCGACGACGGCGATATTCTTCCCGCCCACGTGTATTTCGAACTGTCCCTCGGCGCCCGAAGGGCTGTTGTCGCGCCCCGACGCCTGGTAGACCGCCGCCTGTTCGTTGTTGAATGGGAGGTTGTTGACCGTCGTCACATCTTGACCGTCCTGTTGCCACTTGCCCCAGGACAGCGCTGCGTTCTGGATCACGCCCTCCTCTTTGACACTTTTCCCGTTCTTGACTATGAAATTGGCGAAGTTGCCCGCGCCGTACGGTATCGGCTGAGCTCCCCTCGACGTCACGCAGTTCAGGACTGACTTGACGCTGATCTCCTGCTTCAGGACCAAGTTCATGATGCACAGTATTATCTTGTTCTTTGCTTCTGGGCTCAATTGCGGTGGGACGATTTGTTGGCTCTTACTATCGTTCGGCGGTTGTTGGCATGACACCGTCGAGACGAGCAGCACAACCGACAACGCGGCGAATCGGATTACGGAAGTCTTCATGGTGTACGCTTGTAGTAGACTGAATAGTTACAGATCCGAGACTGCAACTTTATACAATTTTGACTATCGCGCAATGCACTTTAATGTCATTCGTTTAAAAAAAAACAAAACAAAGATCTAGAAACATTACAAAGAAAGATAGCAATAAACAAAACTTATATTTTAAGAAAAAATTACATCATGTAATTTCCCTTATGCAGCAGCTTATCTCGCTGTCCAGATAATGTAAGGTCAATAAAGGACAACACTATTTATTTTAAATACATCATATTTTATCAACAAATTTAACGTCTATAATAGTCTCGGTACATTAAACCTAGTGGGGTCATAACATAAGTTCTGTCACTTGTTCGTTGTGAAATAGTTAACACATGTTTCTTTTTACAGTAACCATTTACATACCAAGAGGAACTTACTGAAACATGGCTCCTTATGCTAACCTAGCTCATTCAAAATTATCCCCGCGATTTTTAATACAGGCCTTCAAACTACACGGCGGACAGTCCATTAATCAAGTGAGGCTATCGCGTGTATTGATTTTTTCCTCAAACTCGCGACTTCTAAACCGAAAAGCAGCGTGTAGTGTGACCTTGACCCGCCGTTGCCAGGCAACGAACAAAGTCCTCGCGCGCCGTGCGCTGCTTGCCAGTTGCCAGTTATTGTGTTATTTCGGCTAAAAGATAATTTAAAAAGTATACATAAACATAATATAAAGATTATTAGAAAACCTTTTATATCATTTAATAAATTGTGTAATATACGTGCTAAATTGATTGGTTTGATTAAATTCAAAGCATATTCTCTTCTTTCTAGGGCAATAAAATAAAAGGTTGTCATTATATCGTTTGATGGAGCGATAAACGTATCTTTTGGTTATATTGAAATTTAGATGGTTCGATATTAATTTAAGATAGGTGTGGTAGGGCCACGTAGGACCAGCAGCCTCGGCTGTTGCACGAATGAGCTGGCTCGTCCCGGTAAGTACCACGACCTCACAGAAGACCGGCGTAAAGTGGAAGTATAATACTTTCGCGTTTCGTGCGGTGAGTGTAGTGAGGTAGCCGGAGCCCAATTTTCAAAAGGTTGTCAACGCATCTGCAACCCCCGGGTGTAGCAGGTGCCCATGGGCGGCGGTATTCACTTCACATCAGGTGAACCGCCTGCTCGCTTGGTAATTTATCACATAAAGAAAAAGAAAGGGACGGAAGGAAGGGACGGGACAGACTTCGCTGACGGAATTGCTAATAGTAAATTCTATTTTGAGAATAAATAAGAAACTTAACCGGTCATCTTCTACATCTTTATTTTCTAGGTTTATCGTTCGAGACTGTCTCGAACCTACGCACCCTACGCACAAGCGTCACAATCTACACATTTTCACGACCTTTACTCCTCGTGGTCAGCCGGTTATTGCAAGACCGTCAGCTTTTTAGGGTACCCGTACCCAAAGGGTAAAACGGCACCCTATTACTAAGACTCCGATGTCTGTCTGTCTTTTTGTCGGTTACCAGGCTGTATCTCACGAACCGTGATAGTTAGACAGTTGAAACTTCCACAGATGATGTATTTCTGTTTCCGCTATAACCACAAGTAAAACACAGAATAATAACAATACAACAGGCATGATTTCTTTGCCTTTTCCGACTCGCACTTGGCCGTCTTTTACAGACCGCGGGATATATCCATGACACCTGCGACTGAATACCGAGATCACCCGGTATCTGCTGAAGCCGCGTGCACTTGGCACACACTGAACGAATCAAACGTCCTGTTAAGAGGACCTTCCACGCATCTCGCAAGCCGAGGTTCAGGCTAGGCGCCTCGTGCGCCAGGCCACCTCAAGCCCGTCGGAACTGTAAAGGCTCCTAAGGCCAACAGTGGCTCATCCAGCCAAAAAAAAAAAAAAAACAAACTCGCAAGCATCCAACCTCCCCCTTTCCCATACATCGACCCCTTGGCCGATCCAGAGTCCTCAAAAAGAACACGAGAACGTCCCCCGCTGCCAGTTTCGACCCTCGCCGGTTTCCAGATATCATCCTTGTCTTGTTAACATTATCCTATATGCCGCCTAAGCACGTACCCGAAAGTATAGCTAACAAACTCCCACAAACAGTCAGGTCAGCATACCTTACATCAACAACCAGTAGCCGATACCCCATCACACAGCCAACGCATTTACATAAACGTGCTTGTGTCTATTAGCTTAGGGGAACACAACAAGAGTAACTTAGCAAAGCTTTAAACTTTAGCGTAGCAAAGCTCGAATAGTCTCCGAACTGAAAGCGTCAGTTACAAAACTTCATCCATATTTGTATGCTTCATAAAGGGACGTTATTTAGATACGGTTTTCCTCATTCAAATTTTGCGTTAAAAATCCCGATTGATGTAATAAATTTTACGGCTTACGCATGGGGGGAAATACATGCAATAAAAAACTGATCAGTCGTAATCGAAACATTGCAAACGACGCTAGACTAGGTTAATTAAAAAAAGCTTAAAAGTATCGGGAAACTTTGTACCCGTATGAATTTGTAAGGGAAACAATTGGCACTCGACACCATCATTACTCGTTACTTATACAGCGTGTCGTTACCATCGCGACAATAAATGAACACACGTCTAACACTACTTGGATATAATCATAAAAAAATATTAACGTTAAACAAAATCCATAATTAAAAAAAATATTTTTCAAACAAACTAATTAAGTAAAAAAGAAACAAAATTTGTAACATCCTATATAACTCGCGCCACAGCGTCGTATTACAAGCCTCTCCTTCTAACAGTATGTTTTGTCTCTTTTAAATTCATTCAACCCATTCATATGCTTTGTGACCTTTACAAATGAACTTTACGTTACAGTTTTATACGTAAGGGTGTAATAAAATTCTTTGTTTTGGAAAATTTAATAACTCTGTAAATATTGATGCTTGAAGAATGTAAATGTTTAATACAATTTTAAAAATTTATCCTCTATATGTGTGTTCATTTACTGTCGCGATTGTAAAGACACGCTGTATATAATCGGAATCTCGGAAACGGCTCCAGCGATTTTAATGAAATTTAGTATGTGCGTAGATTCGGGGGCGAAAAATCGATCTAGCTAGGTTTAATTCTTAGAAAATGTCCTTTTATCCCTGTTTTCAGGGAATGAAAAATATTGTACGAATATGACGGTAAAATTCGCTGAAAAAAAATGTTATAATAGCTCGGTCGGTAATCGGGCGCCCCGAAACGGAAGGCCGGGGTTCGTGTCACGATCATTTACATACTTATTTATTTATTTATTTTTTCAATTCCAGGTCATTGCTTTCTTTATTTTTTATTTATTGTCCAACCAGATGATTTTGTTCTCTTTTCCCTTTTTTTTAAAGTTCTTTCTTTCGTGAAAAACACCAGTTCATATTTTCTTATTATTACGTCGTTAAGATGGAAAAATATTATACATATTTCATTACTCAGTAATTTGTATTTAAATGTAATTTCCAAAATACACGATTTACCAAAAAAAAAAACAAACCGAGCAAAGCTCGGTCCTCCAGGTACTTGTACTTATGCTAAACATTTCTTGTATGCTGTAAAGATTCCTAATAAAGTAAATAAATACAATAAATAAATGTTATTATAAAATGATTACTACGTCCCACCAGATATGAATGGAATTTCTGTCTAAAATTAGTCAGAAATTCCGATGTTCAAAATTAGCAAGCGGGTTTTTTTCGCTGGCGATAAATTGACGCGAGAGTCAGAAGGTTATCTCTATGAGGTCATATATGGACAGGTATGCCATTAAGCACAATTCTGTTTTAGGGCAACGCAACAGTCTTCGCTTTGCACGAATGTGCAAGTCCGTCCGGGGAAGTACTTCTGCGTTTCGTCTGGTCAGTGAGGTAACCGGGGCCCACTTTATTTAAAGGTGAAAAGGAAAGCAAATGACCATGGGCGACGGTTATAACTTAAAATAAGGCGAAACCCGCTCACTTGCCACTTTCACAGATTAAAAAAATATAGAATATGTATGTGACATTTCAAATCGGTTGAACTAATCAGAGGTCTGCATTAGCATTCCTGCGTAAAGCATTCCAACAAACACTAAAGATACCTTGTTTGTAGCGAAAGGACAATGGAGAAAATATTGTAAAGAGAAATTTGAAGCGAACAGACATAACATAAATGTTAATATATAATCTTTCTTTTTATATATAGAAAAAAAAAATTAAGACACACTATATACTTAAGTTTTTAAATTTTGTTAACACACAAAACAAAAAAGTTACAAATTTTGTTTCTTTTTTACTTAATTAGTTTGTTTGAAAAATAGTTTTTTAATATTTTTTTATGATTATTGTATAAATATACAGCGTGTCGTTACCATCGCGACAATAAATGAACACACGTCTAACGCTACTTGCCCATACGCTTTTACGCCCGTTACGCTTTTATAGGTAAGGGTGTTCTAAAATTCTTTGTTTTGGAAAATTTAATAACTCTGTAAATATTGATGTTTAAAGAATTTAAATGTTTAATACAGCTTACTTAGATAACTTTTTATCCGCTATATGTGTGTTCATTTATTGTCGCGATGGTAACGACACGCTGTATATATATATATTCAAGAATTGCTCGTTCAAGGGATAAGATGATTAACAAGGATATTTAGCCATTAAGAAAGTTACAACTACATACATTTTTTTTAATTATTGGTACGTATGTGCAACAGGCGTAATATATATTTTAGTCTATTGGTGACTCCGTGGCGCAGTCGTCAAGGTATTGGCTTCGGCGTCGCTTGTCGTGGGTTCGATTCCCACACGGGACAACTATTTGTGTGACCCACAGATAGTTGTTTCGCATTTGGGTGTTTATCCACGTGAAATTTATGTATGTAAAACGTCCTTGCAACACAGGATAATGTTATCCTAAAGTGAGGGCAATGTTTTTTAAAAAAACCAAAAGAAACCAAAGTCCGTGCGTGCGTGTGTGCGTGCGTGCGTGTGTGC